CTGATCACAACTGATACATTAAGAGCTCTCAATAGAAATCATTGTTAGTTCTTTTCCTCAGGCTGAGCCATTAAAACTGGTTTTAGAGTTCCCCCACCCACCGAATCCCACTGTAACCCCTGACTGTACACATTTTCCTGTTTAGTGGCAAAGAAAATAGAGCTTCGTTTTTTTTAAATTGTCCTACTTTTTCTCTGCTCTGCTGTTCTACTAAATGATTCAACCTGAGTAATTATTTTTTATTATTCCCATCTACTGATACTATTTTATTATTACATTAATACATTAATATATCACAAGGCTCAGTTAGCTTTGCACAACAATAGCTAGTAGACATGTCCTCCAAAAAGCTGCTTTTAACTTTCTTTGAGTACATTTCAGAGACTGTACTTTTTCACTTTTACTTGAGTACTTTTCAACACTAGTATCTTTACTCTTACTTAAGTACAGAATGGCTAAAAAATAAGAGTTTGAGGCAACAGTTTATGTTCTTAAAACTGACAATGAAAGATCAAAAAACATTGCCTGATATGATGAGTGTTAAAACTTTTGTTCTTACATTCAAATTCAGGTGGTAGGGTTTTGGCCAAGCTTGAATACGTCCTGCTTTGCATCAACAATTTAGCCTGCTGGTGGGGTAATGTGTGGCACACATATTGTGCCCCATTACCACTACCTGAGTATTGTTCTCCTCCCTTTATGACCACAGTGTGGCTACCTTCTGACAGCTGCTTCCAGCAGGAAAGTTCACCATGTCTCAAGGCTCAAACTGGTTTCTTGAACATGACAATGATTTCATTGTACTCAAATGGCCTCCACAGTCACCAGATCTCAATCCAATACAGCACCTTTGGGATGTGGTGTAACAGGAGATTCTTATCATTGATGTGCAGCTGGAAAAACTGTGTGATGTTATAATGTAAATATGGACCAAAATCTCTGAGGAATGTTTCTTTGTTGAATCTGTGCATGTAGACTGAAGACAGTTCTGAAAGAGACAGGGGGCTCAACTTGGTACTAGCAAGTTTTACCTAATGAAGTGGTCAGTGAGGCAGAAAATCAGTAATCAGAGGGCAGAGCTTACAGTCCTAGCAGTCCATACAAATGAAAGACAATGAGCGTTTGAGATTGTAAATAAAAATGCCTGTGGGGAAGTTAACACCTATCAGAAGATAAAACTATGGGTGTTTAGGTCTATATAAACAACTATGACCCACATTCACGTGGGTCATCGTTATACAATCTTAGTTTAGTCATTTAAAAGGTTGCTCATTACTCAGTGTGTTAAAATGGTTTCTTTTATTCGCAGTGGTGCTGCTGTTACTCAGGGTTTTAAAGAAGTAGCACATTCTGCTCCGAAGTTTCATGCCAAACCTGAGCAGGGCCCCTTGCAATTTCCTGCCCATAACAATAGTGCGAACAAAGAGCGAAGGGTCATGACTGGAAGTCGCAGAGGCTTCAGCTCTTTAGACCTGGACTGCCATGGCCCAGCAGGGACACACGCTGGAAAGCTGCCCACAACTTTAACTTGTCCAAAGAGAGAGGATGCCCAAAGCGTGGGAATTTCACTTATCATATTTTTCCAAAGAATTCCTGGCCTGTGATGAACGTAGTTGTAACAGGATGCGTGTGTTTAGACAATTTAACCTTTTGACTTCACACTGACTGACACAGAAAAGTGGGTGTAGACACGATTCTTGCGCCTATTTGTTTTTGTAATCATTGCTCAACCACTTTCAAAAACGTAAAACTCTCATCTGAGAAACATCCAGTCTCGCCAAATAAACGCTAAAACATTCCCATACAAGTGTGATGAAACAGTGACACAATTACAGCGGCTTAGAATAAAGAAACATCTTTAATATTTGTTTAGCTTGCTACCAATAGCGAAACAATGGTCCAGTGTTTGAGGTTTTTGAGAAGCAGACATAATAAGGCCATGACCTAAGCCTTAAACAACACATTACTAATACTCCAGATAACGTCTGTGACCTCTCCTCCTCATTAGACGCCATATAGGAATGCCGTGAAGCAAGAAAAACGGTATGTAAAACTTGAGAAGAGATATGATGCAACACAGGAGATGAGACACAATCAGACCATTATAACACAACACTACTCAGTAGATAACAGACACACCAAACATCTGTGTGATTTTACACAAAAATATGACTTCTTAGCAGATTTCTTAAATTACATGGAAAATTTACATGTAATCCTGTTATTTAAATTTTGGGCATGAATATTTCTTGAGTTCGGTGGCCTGAGGTATTTTCAGTGTCTGAAACAGCAGAAAATGTTTCACAAACTCACCATGCACCTTTCGTAATGCTGATTTTACAAGTCACCAACAGTTACAGCTGTGACATAAATAGAATCAACAATAGAGTATCTCCATCTGAAATCTATTTTTGCTGTAATGTTATCACTTGTATGGGGGAATGGTGCCTTAGCCTAAGATCAAATCTCGGCAGTCCCCACTTCGCTACAAGCTCAAACATTGTTTTGTGGGAGAAAATAGCCTACTTCCTGCTATCATGCTGCGGTGAGAATTATGTTCCTGTACAAAGCCTCAAAAACAGGTGGGATCCACCTAGTGGCGAGAAGGTGTTTTTTTCCCCCCCTGGACTGAAAAGCTCTTTGAATGTTTTATCAGTTTCTTCCATGTGGTCTTTTATGTGGCTTGCACCCACCCCCAGGAGGATGGTGTGTTAGTAAACCTCAAGTAAAAACATTACTTACACTGTAAAAATTAAGATGGAAAACCTGCAGCAGTGCCAGAATTTGACATTCCCAGGCATAAAATGTTTCTCGCAAACTTTTTCTCTTCTCCATGTCAGATATTGACTTGCCTACAAAGGCACAGAGGCCTCAAGTATGCAAGATGTTTCATGAACTATTTGGAAAGCAGGCTGATAAATAAACAGAGCTGTACATTCACAGATCCAACCACACACACACACACACACTGAAAAGAACATGTTTCTCATCCTCTGTTTTGGGTCTGTAGGAGCTCTGAGCCATGGCAACCGAATACCGAGGGGAGAAAAATTTGCCTGGCTGAGCTCCATCCTTCTGGCAGTCATGCTAAAACTCATGAATAGCATGACAAAAACAACATTCCTCACTGAAGTGATATAGTCCTGAAGGAATTCCTGTTAAATCGAGGCATTTCTCGGCATGCATACCTCATTGTATTGAAACCATGTGGCGTAACGTGTGAATGTAAATTCAACTGCAGATCCAAAGCAGTGAGAGAAAATGACTTTGGGCACATGCAGACATTTACATTGTCTGTTTTTCTTTGTGTTTCACCACTGTGCATGTGTGCATGTGGGTATTAATTTACTATAACACACTTTCTTCTTGTATAAGCACATCTGTCTGTGATTTGCAGGGAAAAATAAGGTGCGGAGACTTGAAATTAGCATACTATTGTCTAGTTTCCCTGTGTGTATAAACACATTAAAGTACAGCACCTGCGGTTCTTTAGAGCCAAAATGCACACACTTGTGTGTATGCAGATACGTATGTGCGTATGACGAGTCTGACAAACAGTTGTTAGGGTCAATCTGTATGAGCAGAGATATCAGTGGCCCATTGCCATGTCTCCCACGCAAGTGCTGAGTCGTGAGGTTAGTATTCAGGGAAAATAAGACAGAACTAAAAGATTAAAGAGTAGGCAAAGCATTACGGAAAGGCTGGTATTGGTATTTAACTATGTAACTACATTTATTTTATCAGTTAAGACCAAGAGTAGCTAATGCAAGAGCAGCATTACAAGCTAATTTTGCAGCTGTAACTTGTCACAGGTCCAATGTTAAATCAGGAGTTTCAGGCCAGTGGTTTTATTGCACAGTGCATATTTTCCATCAATAATCACAATAAAGCAGTATGTCATCAGAGAAGTGCACTGAAATCCATGGAAACTTGGAGGCAAATGGGTGCATACACACAGCACTGAGGTCAGTGAGCTTGGCTTGGGTTATATACACTCAATGACCACTTTATTAAGTGCATTTGATTAGGCAGTATTTGGCTGGACCCGTTTTTTTTTTCCCCTCAGAACTGTTTTAATTCTCAATGGCACAGATTTAGCAAGCTGCTGGAAACATTCCTCTGAGATTCTGGTCCATACAGACTTGATAGTATCACATAGTTGGTGCAGATTCGTGGGCTAAACATCCATGATGTCTCAAAGAGGCTCTATTGAATTGAGATCTGGTGCCTGTGGAAGCCATTTGAGTACACTGAGAGCATTGTCATGTTCAAGAAACCAGTTTGAGGTGAATTGAGCTTTGTGACAGGTGTTATCTTCCTGGAAGCAGTCATAGAAGATGGGTATGCTGCAACTAAGCCAACAGCAATACTCAGGTAGGCTGTGATGTTTAAACAAGGTTCAACTGTCCATAAGGGACCCAGTGTGTGCAAACGATGTCCCCCAAACCATTTCACCACCACCACCAGCAGCCTGAACTGTTACATGGCAGGCATACAAGGCAAGAGGGATGCATGCTTTATTGTGGTTTACCCCAAATTGTGACTTTATCATCTAAATGTTGCAGCAGAATTCGAGACTCATACGATGAGGCAATGTTATTCCAATCTTTTGTTCAATTTTGGTGAACCTGTGAATATTGTAGTCTCAGTTTTCTGTTCACAGCTGACAGAAGTGGCACCTGGTTTGGTCTGCTGCTGTAGACCATCTGCTTCAAGGTTCACCGTGTTGTACATTCAGATCTTCTACATACATGATTAGGGTTCAACTATCCATTTCTATACATTTCATATTATGATTTATTCTCACATAACCTTTCATATTTTTTTGGGTGGAAAACATGACTCGTGTATGAAACATTCAATCAAAAGTCACCGAATTGTTTTAACAAGCAGTGAGAAAGAAGCAAATAATCAGCACCCATATTTAGTGAGCTCATTTTAATCAGCTACACACTGATTTCATCATTGCTGATTTACAGTGTTGCATTCCTGGTTCTCTGTCACTGGTAGCATCCCTGAGAGCCTGGAAGAGGACGAGACATGTTATGGAAAGCCCACTGTAAGATGCCATCAATGGAGCTCTGCTGCAGTGAAGAGAAGAAAACACAATAGGATTAACTGCTGAACACCTATTTGTCTATTTGTCATAGATTTAGTAACATATTAGGTAAATATAAATCCTTTAATCAATCAATCTGCCATCTATAATGCAAACCTTCTTAGAGTTCACTGTAACTCAAAAATTTAGCTTCTGAATTGTAAATTATTTAAATAGTCAGCAGGTAGGGGCTAAAAACAGAGGCACCCAAATCAAGACTGTGAGCCCAGTGAAGCCAAGAAGAACTCACACATCTGTACACATCTGTGAAACTTCTGTGCACATATTTCAGGCCCAAAATCACAGCTAACAACATCAGGACAAGCTGCTCCAAATCGCCTAATGTTTTGTCCTCGGTGCTTTTTGTTTACCCCGACAGCTCACTGACTGTCTCTGTGATAAGGAAACAGTCATCTTGTGTCTGACGTGAACTGTTGCACCCTGCCTGCATCTGTGATATCGACATGTAACTGATCTCCACTCACGTCCCCCAGGATGGAGTCCAGTTCATCTTTATGGTGGATGGGCTCAGAGAGGGAGGCGCTTTGATCATGACTAAGTGTGTTTTGAGCCAGAGGTGCAAGCTGAAGACAAACACACACAGACACACACACAGGAGAGATTACATAGAGTATTCGGTGGTATTAAGATAATAAAGGTTGTAAATTCTTTTTCAAGGTGTGTACATGTGGAGACACACCTGCCCGCCTCTGGATTCAGCCTCTCTCTCAGCAGAGCTGCCCCACAGTCTGGAGCAGGACAGGCAGATGGACCTCCCTCTTAGAAACACACAAATGCTTTGAGTGAACATTTCCGTGGTGTATAAGGTTTCTCTCAATCAATATGTCATTTCTGACACAGGAAGCTGTTCAAACCCTTCCAGCTGGGAAAATAAACTGCTTACATGAAACTTGGGGCCCTAATTAATTAAAAAAGGGAAGCTTTTTCTTCTTATCGCTTGGTTTTAGTTAATACTGTGTTTTTAATCAACATAAAAAGGAGCCACGAGAGCTTATCACATGGATTCGGCTTTAATTTGTTGTATCTGTGTTATCGTTGTGTAAAATCATTGTGAACCTCGCTCACATTGCTCACTACTCAGCTGCAAGGGCTCCACTTACAGTCCATTAGCCACCATTATCCCAAGAGAGATTATTGAAAGCGCACACCCTTAATGCACACTGGTGGTCAATACCAACATACAGGAAGTTCTCAGAGAGCCCCGAATGTTTTTTTTCTTCTAATGTAGATGATGCTGAGATTAGGATTTCAGGAGCTCAGGGGAAACGCTCTCTGTCATCTCCTAAAAATCTTTCTTCTACAGTCAGAAGAAGAAATTAGTGGTTTTCTTACTTGGAAAAGTGGCAGTTTACATGGAAATGCTTCAGACACTGAAAGCAGTGGGTCAAATCTCCTCCTCCGAGGTGGCAAATACCGCACACCTCCCTCACGCCAACCAGCTCTCCACCCGAGCACTGGAGACAAATTTATACATGCATCAAGTGTGACTATTTTTACATATTGCAGAGGCGGAAAAAGGATGAGGCTGATGGAAGCTGAACTGATTAAAAAAAATGGCTGAATGATGTAGAAGGTCACCTGGTTTCTGACACCTGACGCACTCGTCGTCGCCGTAATGCTTGTGAGGGAGGATGACAGCGATGAGTAGAATGAGACATCGGTGATGGAGTTACTGCAGTTTGTGTTTGTTTGCTGAGGATGAGCTGAGAGAGCCTGAATGCAAATATTTAGACTATGATCAGTTCTAGAAAAAGCATCAGTGTTTACCAAAGCCCTTAAAACTTTTTTTTGTAAACAAGTCTTCAAGTTTTACTGTGACTTATTATCCTGAACTACGTAAATACAAATTACTAAAGTTGGAAATACCAGACAGGGTGTGAGAGCCATGAGTTTTCTTTTACACATGAAACGTACTGAAAATATAAGTTGCTATGAGCAGAAAGATTCTCACATTTAAAAATGACCACACAGTACTAGTCAGTACTAGGGGTGACTCAGAGGCTTGGGCCGCTGCTCACTTCTTTATGTTTTTCTCGCAAGACTCCCAGACTTTCTAGGAATTTTTGGTGGCCTTGAGCAATAGCTCTCCAGGCTTTCCAAAGGCCTTTTAAAGTTTTCTTCAGCTGCTTTTTGTTTACTCATTTTCAGTCTAGTCACATAATTTGTTCATTTCTTTTGCTGAATCTATGAAAAATGCTGAAGATAGCACATTTTTGCACCAACAAGATGATTCCCCAAAAGCTAATAGCCAAAAACCAGGCATATCTCAGCATGGTGCGCAGTGTGTCTTTAAAAAGCAATCGACAAGTGGAGGACAAAAGAAAAAATGTCAGGCCCAAAAAACTATCTGCAGCAGATGCAAATGGTCTCAGTGGCTGTCAAGAAGCAGTTCTTAAGGAAGGGAAAAAGAGAGGTATGCTAAATAAAAAAATTTTAAATGACAGAAAGCCAAAGACCACGGGTGTCCTGGAGTGATCCAAATCTAAAACGTCTGGTTCACATCATGTACAGAGGAGGTCAGGATAGAGGTACAACAATGTGTCTATAGCCATCTGTAAAACACAGTGGAAGCTCTGTCATGGTTTGGTGCTGCATTTCAGCTAGTGGTGTTGGGAATCTTGTCAAAAATGTTGAAATCTTGAATGCAGAAAGGTAGCAACAGATTTTGATCCAATATGCAGTGCCATCTGGAAAGTGTCTGATCGAGAAAAGGATAATATTTCATCATCACAATGATCCCAAACACATTGCCAATGCAGTGAATGCACACCTGGATTGAAAAAACACACAATGCAACATTATCAGTCATGGATTAGCCAGACCAGAGCCCAGAGCAGCTAAAATCAGAAGAAAAAAAACCTTCAAGAAGAACTTTTGGAGAACTATTCCTGAAGACTACTTAAAGAAAATACCAGACGGCTGGCTAAGAGAGTTCAGACTGTGTTGAAGAATAAAGGTCATACCAAATATTGACTGCATTACTGCATTTCTATGTATGTTTGCTCATGTTTTAACAAATTGCTGAAACCATTCCCCATTTTCCTAGCAAAATATAAAGAAATGAGGGTCGTTGAAGACTTTTTCACAGTACTGTAGGTTATTCAGTGGATTCAGTATGTGCACATTTCCTGCTTCCTTCCTTCAGGAACTTACTTGTAAGGGTAGCTGTGCTTTCTCTTTTTTCACCCTGTGTCCACGGCACCACTCACACTGCCAAGAGCCACTGCAGATAATGTAACGTTATAACCTCTTTCTCAAAGCAAAAAAAACATCTCGGCACACCAGCACATTATTCTTCACCTTGGTATGGACGAGAGTGGAGGGTCAAGGCAGGCCAGATGAAAAGCTCGAGGGCAACCGTCACAGCAGATCAGCTCCCCTCCATCCTTACACACTGTACACTCATCATCATTGTAATGAATCTAAACACAGGCCGATAAATGTAACATAGATAAGCAGGCACCCACATTCATATAAAGCACAAGCAACTTTATTTAAGAGTGAGGGGATTACAGCGTCTACCATGCGTGTGGCTGTCTCCACCTGGTGGTGAAATGTGCTCTTAGCAGACTTGGACTTTGATGCATTTGTCTCCTCTGACGGACCCCCACCAGCTTTAATGGGCTCTCTGGTGGCCCCTGTTAAATGACAGTGGGTTTTAAAGGGGAAAATCTTGCATAAAGGTTAAAGCTTAGTTAGGTCTGTGTTTTCACATTCATAGTTTGATGTTGCTTCAGTTTTCTGAAAAAAGAAGTTCACATATTCATTATATGACTTACCTTCCAAACAATATGCCTGCATAACATGCACCTTTTCTTGGTTATCATGGTTGACTGGGGGATCCGTGGAGGGAACCGAGAAGGACGAGGATGAAGAGGGCAGGTGGACTCCTCTCTGGATTGTGGAAGACAGTACTTGCACACCTGAAGCAGAAAATAGGTTTGGTTATGTATTCGTGGCATAAAAGTATTTAATATATTTATTTTTATGATAATTACTGTTTTCAGATGGCAGCTTGGAGCCAGGAGCTTCACTCTTCACTCTGTAGAGCTTCACTTTACTTCCTTAAACAGAGTAGATAAGACCTTATAATGAAGACAGCAAAGTCATGTGCGTTTTAGAGTATTCCAGGTTAATTCTTTGTGAAGCCTATGTATCTTTTGATTGCCAAAATAAGCCTATTATGATACAAAGCAAGTGCAGTATGGGAGATGACCTCCTCCATCGGTTGTCTTGGCATGATACTGTGACCGCTGGGAGCTCAGTTCTCGATCCGCATGGCTCCTCTTCTTACTGTGAGGAGGTTTGTGACCTCCAGATGGTCTGTTTTCATGTTTGGAACCTGCAGTCTCCCTTCCTGTCAAACAAAATCAGCAACAATGTAAACCATTAGAGTCTAAATGTGACAGAAAATTGTCCCGAGAGACTGTTTTCAGCTCTGGTGCAACAGATGCAACTGAGGTTTTATTGCTTTTGTAAATTAATAAGAAAAAATAGAAAAAAATCTGAGGAATGTCAGTTTGTGCTGAATGTTATTTGACACTGGTACAGTAGAGTATTCTTCTGAGGATCCTCAGACGCTCATCATGGGCAGGAACGTCATAGAATTTTGGTCTTTTCATGATTTCTTTGAACTGTTCTTTTAACTGTACATCATCTTTATTGACTCTAAATAAACAGATAAAAAATCTAAACAAGAATAGTGAGCACTAGAAACTATTTATTTATATTTCTCTAATTCACATGGGTTCAAAAGTATACATACAGACCAAAATACATACATATACTCACCTATTAACTGGTTGACTACCGCCACTAGTTCTCTTTAAAAAGGATTTGTTTGACAGCACTCATTGTGTTGGCAATAAGACTGGAAAGTCCAAGGAACTCTAATAAGGAGACTATTAGATTTACACAAGTTGTCTTTTGCAGCCATTTTTAAACAGCTGCAGATTCCAAGATAAATTCAGACAATTGTACATAGGGACAAGTTATTCAGGTGACCACTTTACTAAGGTCTGGCAAAAGACAAGACAAAGATTGAGCTACTTGGCCATAGTGACAAGAGGTATGTTTGGAGGAGTAAAGGTGAGGCTTTCAAACCTAAGAACACTGTACTAACTATCAAGCGTGGTGGTGGCATCATGTTCTGGGGCTGTTTTGCTGCCAGTGGTAATGACAGATTTCAAGAGTGGATGGAATAATGAAGAGGAGGACTACATCCAAATTCTTTGACTTCACCTCAAATTGGGAATTAGATGGTTGAAACTTGGACGTAATTTAATTTTCCAAACACACACACAAAATGGTTTTAGCATAGATAAAAACAAGCCAACATTAAGATACTGACCTTCCAAAATTCCCAATAAATTTGTGGGCTAAGCTTAAAAGCCGGGTTCATGCCAGGAAACCAGCCAATTTTAATAAAATCTTCCAAATTTGCCAAGAGCACCATTCAAACATCCCATCAGAATTATGCCAGATGGCTTCCAAAAGCATCTGGTCGAGGTGCATCTTGCTGAGGGGCACTTAACCAAATATTAATGGGGGTGTACGGATCCATATATTTGAGCCTGTGTGAATCTAACATAAAGTAAAACTTGTGCACTCAATTCTTGTCATTTTGAAGTCACAATAGATGTATGATGTACAATCATTCCACCGTGGGAGAACAATAGTTTATTCCTTAATAGGAATCATGAACTTATCGTGTCAATCACCATGACAAAATGATTATGACATTCATGCCTATAACAAGTGTATAGATGTAGATTTATTTGTGTGTGACAAATGTTTTGTCGTAAACTGTGTGTTACATACGGGAATCCAGGTTAGTGAGCAGGGTCTGCAGCCTGGGGTAGCTGTCCAGATTATAGTCTTTGGATAAGTTGTTCAAGAAGGCCTGGACAGTGGATCTGCTCTGCTCCAACACCCAGGACAGGAGGGAGTACATGGCCTTGTGGATGCCTTCTCTAGCCTCTTTCTCCAGAGTCTCCTATAGACACATTAAGTTTATGAGTTTGAAGACTGAAAGTTCAGCACTGATATCCTTTAATGGAAGCAGCCCGATACTTGCTTAAAGTAGCATAAAAAAATTATTTCAAATCAAAATTAAGGTTTACACAATTAATACGGATATCCAATCTCTGTTCAGTTTCTTACCTTCAGCAGCTGCTCTGTGATGATGTTTTTGTCCGCCAAACCATAGACCAGGGGGAAAGGGTCATCCACAGCCATAGCGATGTCAGTTCGCAGCTCCCTCAGCAGCGAGCGGAGGTTTGTGTCCCTAAACGCCTCGACTCTTGACATGATCTTCTTTTGTGTGCAAGTGAGAAATGACTTGACACGGTCTGAGACCACAGATGAAGAATTTCAGATGTGGGGGGTGTGTCCCTCACAGGGAAGGTGCACTGCTTCATGCTGACTGCATACATGCATAAGCCATATCTTAAAAACTCCTGTATTTTTTTTCATCCTGTGTTTGTGCTTTTAATAACGCATCTATGACTCTATGAAAAAAAATGAAGCTACCAGCCTTTCATTTCTGAGACTTCCCTCCAGGGAGGCCAGCCCTGGACCTTTTGTCTCTTTTGAGTTCATTTGTCCACTAACAGCACTAACGGCCTTCATCCAGGGGAATACCTGTCCTCTTACATCAGGAGAGCAGAGTGAAGTGACCTGATGTGTGACAGTTTTCTTCTTAAAAGGTTCTTTCCACCTCAACTTCCCCTCACCCGTCAGGTTTTCACACACTGACTCACCACAGGGAACTCCGCATTAGTGTGATAATTATGACTTCGCCACAGACAGGAGAACATTAACACTGTAAACAGTTTAATGACTGACAGACTGATTGCATGACTGGTAGCCTACTATGCTTTATGCAGTTGTTATTCTGTTAGTTTGTTCCTCCAATTCTCATTATTCTACTAAAAAGGCCTAAACAAAGAGGAACCGGTCTCTCCTCCAAATACACAAGAGAATGGTAAAATAAAACTCATCTAAGGTTAAGGCTTCGGGCTTGTCATTTACTAGAGAGCATTTGCCTGCAGTTTCCACTAATTCAATTTCATGTCATGTAAATATCCATTAGGTCTAAATGCTAGAGTATCCAATTACTTTAACTCATAAATAAGGTTAGGAAACAACTGGGTAGCTTGAGAAATATGCTCACTAAGTCCCTTAGTTCACTGCAAAGCCAAAGCCAGAAGATGGCCAACTAAGTTAAGCATTAAAAAAAGCTACTGCTTTAGTAGCCAAAAAAATCATCTGTGGTTTGTGTGCCAAACCATATGAGATGGAAACGGTCATCCAAAAATGTGACAAGGTCAGTATAAAATCTCCCGCAGCGAAGAATTCAAGTCTTAGATTCTTTGAAAGTTTGTTTGTAAATGAGATACAGAGACCTGAGGCCTGTATTATGAAGCAGGGTTTAATCTTATCTGGGTGACTTCAGGATTAACCCTGAGTTTACAGTACTGTGAAGGTGGATCATTTCTTACCAGGATATATGGTAACGGGTAAGGTGACTTATAATTAATATGATATGCTACCTGTAGTTTCAGGTTAGAGATCAACTAGTACCTAATAGCTGCTTTTAAACATTGATTTAATGTAATACTTTTTATAATCCATCAGGTTCTCCCATGTCTTAATGATAGAGCTGCTAATATTGATGAATCTGTTAACTTACACAATCTGCATTTTCACCGGCTCTCATTCCTGGAAAAACTTTATTAATATTGCTGCTGTTTTCCAGTCTTACAGACTAAAGCACTTAATCCACATACTGTTAATATGATATTACTCTTGGGTTTTTTTACTCTCATACACTGCTGTGTTGCTTTCAGACTTCATATTTTCTCATCTGTTTCATCTTCCTTTGAAAAACCATCTTCATTGATTGCCAATGTTAGGCTAAGTGATTCCAGATAAGGGAGAGACACCCTGAGTATGGTGAGCTCATGCGTAATACAGGCATCTGGAAGGGTCTGAGATTATACTGGTCCAGTCTCTTATTCTCAGAGACTACTTTTGTTCATTTTCATTTCATAGTTGTGAGGAAGTTATGAATGTTTTCATGTTTTAGGAATAGTCCATAGTTTGTCTCTTTTCCAACCAGTTAGCTAATTAAGCTAAACTGTAGCTAAAATGTCAATTGAGGTTTCCTATGAGGTAAAGCAAATATAATTTCAATTTATGTCACCAGGCAATGTCACAAAAGGGTACTCATAAAAAACAACAAACTGGTGAGGCTACACTATTTAGTGTTTTTTACTTGATTGTTAATGTTAAGAGTTAGATAACAGCTAAATTGGCTAGCTACCAGTTAACAACTGATATCTGCATAAGACACATGAAGTGCTCATTAGATTTTCATATTTAGTCATTAAAAACACAAAAACCTGGTACACAACATAACTAAACACTAAATATTGTAAGTAAATGCTGCATACCTAAGGTCCAATTGTGTTCATAGCTTAAACTTAGATGCTATCAGTGTCTTAGCGCAGCGGTCCCCAACCCCCGGGCCTCGGACCGGTCCGTGAGTCGTTTGGTACCGGGCCACGAGAGTTGAGGCTCAGGTGTGAAATGTATGGTTTTCAGGGTTTTTATCGGTTTTCAGCGTTATTTTGTTATCATTTTTATCGTTAACTTGGTTTTCCTGGGTCTTTTCACGTGTGTTATGAATAAATCTTCTTTTTTTTGGTACCGGTTCTAGTTTTATTTTGTTGTATTTATCCGCGACACCTTAAAGGCCGGTCCGTGAAAATATTGTCGGGCATAAACCGGTCCGTGGCGCAAAAAAGGTTGGGGACCGCTGTCTTAGCGTATCTTAAGTGTTACTAACCCATTTGTTCCCAAGAAAAATATTTGCTGTGTAAATGAAGCTGTGTATTTTATTTAATTACTAATTATTAATTACTTTAAATATATTCTGTCATTTTCTATTTAATGTAACTAGTGTAGTGGTTTAAACCTGCTTGTGCAAACTCCCAACAACTTGCCATATCTCACATTTTCTCAGAAAAAAACAGAAAGTAAATAAAATAGAAGAGTAGATAATTGTGCTACCAGGTAAATGTTGATGGTTAGGAGAGTGAAGCCCTTTAATTTGTAATTTATTAATCATTAAACATTATTACATTATTCATACTGGTGAACAAGGACCACTTCTACAGAGGGACGTTCACAACATACATATTACATTATTATATACAGTGCGGTGCATTACAGTGGATTGTTATATGTGTATTACCGGGATGGAGGGATGGGGAGACTGGAAGGACAGAAGGATAGCGGGAGGAGAGAAGGAAGAGGAGAGGACTTTTAGGAGGGTTAGGGAGTTGTGATAGTAAGTTGTCTCTTTATTACTTCTTTTTTAACCACAGTACAGCTTGTTCTATAAAAGTTAAACCCATAGAGAGATAGAGTGCCACATTTTCACAGCTACTGTTAGGTGATCCTACTGGAAGTTGTGGGAATATCAAATGAGATACGTCTTGTCATGAGATGCTATAGAGAGATGCTATAAAACATTCTAAGATAGTCAGCCTCCTTCCAGAGCACGGAGACCCTGTAGGGCAGGCCAAAGGTCAAAGATCAGATCAGCGTGCATGCGTGCTGCAGACATTCAGACATGTTCAGCTATTTAGAAAAATGGCCGACCCTCCTGCTATTTCTCCTTCTGTGTTTAGGCATCATTTTTGGTGCTTTCCCTTTTTATATATAAAAAATACAAAACATAACAGCGAAAAGAACTCCATTGGTTTCCTCATTTTTCTCCAAACTGTTTTTTTCAGTGTGTGTGTGTTCATTTTCATTGCAACAATTGTTTTCTTCCCTTTTCTCCTCCAGTCACTTACATATTGACAAAGTATACAATATTTTACAACTGAACAAGACTGAAAGATAACATTTGATTTGTCCAATCAGATACAAGGCCCACATCCTATATCCAATTGGAGAAGTCAACTGGAAGCTAACCAGTAGTAAGCAACACAACAAGCCTATGGTGTGAAGGGAGCTGTCCAAGTGCAGCTCTGCATTAACATGAGCACCCGCCCTCAGGCACAGCTGGTTCCGCTGGCTTGTCCAGCTTGATGTCAATCACTGGAAATTGGCACGTTAAGGAAAAGTCACATGGCGAAGTAAACTACTTGGCCTAGACATGCCACAAATGATAGTCAAAGATTCCCATAAGCTAATGTGGACTCAGGTCCTGCATGCTACAACTACTTGTTTCTATCTCCTTCCCCTCCATAGTTGTAGTTTTTTGTCTGATCCAATGTTATGCAGCTCCATCTGAGGCCCCAAAAACTTTGCCCCATGTTTTCCCCACAATCCTCAAGACCTGTAGACAAACCAAAATATGTTGAGCTTCATAGTATAGACAAATCCATATGTTATACTACAATTTAAGGGCACTTCTTTAAAGTTAAATGTTTCTTGGTTTGTAAGTTTCCATATAATAATTCCCATTTATTGATAAGAATCCCTCACCTTCCTTACACAACCATCCTCCATCACACACCCTCCTCTGCTGTCACTTCCCTGTCAGCCACTATGTGGTGCTGTGCCTGTGCATCCACACCATCTTCCTGGCTCTGTGTGTTCCTCCTCTATTAAGCATAAAAGGTTTAATGGCTGATTCCTCGGCAGTCTATCTGTACGTGTGCCAGCAGCCACTAAGAGATTAAAAATAAGCTGCCTATTGCTGGGCTGTTTGGCTATCGGCATGGTGAGTCACGGCGGCTGTAAAGGATACTGCCTTCAGGATTTGCATCGTCCAGGCTTTCCATTCCAGGTAGGGCTGCTGCAACTCGACGAAACAGCTAGGAGGAGAACAAGAGGGAGGAGGTTAAAGAGCAGGAGGCAGCGGGCACGAAAAAATTGTAAAACTTAAAAATGGGGAGGGGGGAGGGAGGGGGAGTGCATCACAAGATGTGTGAAAAAAATTTTTTGGGAAGATGGGAGCTTTTTTTGTATCATGTTACCCCTTGACTAATACTAGCCTTGATGTTTACTTAATATCTATGCTGAAGGTGATGAAGGAAGTATTGAATAAAAGTAGCAATGCAACACAAAAAATGTCCACTATAGCGCTTGTTGAAGCTGGCCTGATTTGAAGATTTACTTTAAAATTTTGAATTTCTAAAATATAACTACAGCAGTAAGATCAATCTATTGAAGTAAAAAGTTTGATATTTTCCAAAATTGTGCTGGATGTTAAGTGGTATAGCTAGTAACATTAAATGTTAGTGCCTTCGATGTGTGCTTCAGTGCAGTAGTTGAGTAAATGTACTAGATAGATATCGGTAAACTAGCTTTTGTTTTTTCTTTTCATTCATCTTTAGCCAGCAAGAACTAAATACGGAATGCACATTTTAGCAACATTGTCCATATTTAAACATTTGATTTATCTGTGTGGTGGCGTGCTCACCTTGGAGGGATTTGGGGATTGGCAGAGACTCTGAAATCAAGTGATGGCAAAAATGCTGTGAAATCTGGTAAAACTGCAGGGATCACCTGTTTGACATTGCAGCCTGTCTTGGCACTGGTCTCGATGAACATGACGTTCAGTTCTTTGGCTCTCTGCTCTCCTTCCTCGATCGTGATTTGCCTGCAGGAAAATCAAGCCAGACTCAGCATCTCGGGCTAATTTATTCGGCATTGACGTGTTGCTTCAAACAGCTTTTTTGCTCATTTAATGAACAAAACCTCCATGTCGAAGACTGTAGCTAAATGTTAGAGATGATTACAAGCCACCACCTTTACCTTTTCTCTTCCAGGTCTGTCTTGTTGCCTACTAGCATGATGATGACATCACTTCCTCTCTCTGTCCTGACATCGTCAATCCATTTGCAGGTCTGCTGGAATGAATTTACATCTGTGGAGCCCAGAGTTTCTTATTACATACAGCTTTTTTGTCTCAAAAACCCAACAGAAAACTATATGTTTTTACTCAAGTGTTTGTCCGTTTAACACAGAAACATACAAATGTATCATGTATATCATACACAGGCTACAGCTTTCCGCTTACTTGTAATGTCATAGACAACCACAGCCACCGTCGAGTCTCGTATGTAGCTCGGAATGAGGCTCCTGAAACGCTCTTGTCCAGCTGTGTCCCACAGCTGCAGCCTTACCTGCATGTGTACACACACACACACAGACACACACGCGCCTTCAGCATAAACTGCCACACCACACATAGCCTATAAGTACACTTCCAGGAGGATAAGCCAGTATCAGCTCCTGTGCAGGCTGGCAGAGCACAATAATATCCTGACAAAGAAAAAGTATTAATACTGGCTAAAGCAGATGATCCATGGGTAAGGCTTTGAGTTATTAGGGCCAGAAAAGTCAGCTCACCAAAGCTGTTACTACCAGAAATAACCATAACATAATCACATTAGTGTGTGACGGAAGGGAATAATTAAGCAAATCAAATCAAGGATTAGTCAAAGCAGAGAAGAAATTGGGCTGTTTCCTACTTAAAACCTCAAGTCATCTGCGCATGTATTTAGAAATGAGAATTTTAAAAATGAAGATCAAGGTTTCCTACTGTCCGGTCCTCCAGGTACATTGTCTTCGATAGGAAGTCAATTCCAATGGTCGCCTGTGGAGAGGAAAGAGCAAAAGAGGGGGAGAAAATCATCAGCAAAAACCCAGACATTAAAATGTAAATGTTTCTCTGCACCATCTGTTGTCTCTAGCAGAGTGATTTTTGTTCAAATACATAAAGCTGTTAAGAAAGGGGGAAAAAGGGAGCCAACAAGCACAGAAATTGAATCTGACTGAAACACTAATTTAATTTGTGCTGCCCTCAGGGCCCAATCCTTCTGACTTGTTATGTACCAAACTTCTGAGAAAGGCGAAGGAGGAATGATATATTTTCTCTTCTTAAAGAAACTAATAGTGCTGCAATGCTGTTCCTAATCATGTTTGAATAAATGGCATGATTCAGATCAGGACATAATTTGTGAAAATCTAATATACTGAGTTTTTTTGACCAAAAAGCACTCGCTGCAATAACGGTCCCATATTAACCTTCAACCTCCAAAAGAAAAATTGAATTTCTTTTACAATTATAAGCAATACCACCAATACCTCTTTCGTATAGATGCTAATCAGCAACGCCATCAATCAATGCTGCTTAATAATTTAAATTGTTTTTAGGTTCTGGATCTGTTCCAGATCTCACCTGATATGTGTTGTCGAAGCTGTCATACATGAATCTAGTGATGAGAGACGTTTTCCCCACTAAAACAGAGCACACACAGGTTGGTTTCAGGGTCCGGACACATCGATATATGATCTCAATCAACATAATGAAAATTTGCTTCATTGATGTGACAACACCACAGTTATATATGAATATTTAACCAGTGCCAGTTATCAAGCCAGTAAAAATGAAAAGAAATTAAGGAGGGGGGGAGAAAAAAATCCATGACTCACTGGAACAAAATCTGCCCGGTAATTCACCAAAAATATGCCTGAGTTAATATGTGAGTATGAATCAATGAATAGCTCAAAATAAGGGCAGCAAAATGGATTTCAGTTCAAAGTAAGAAAAATCTGCTATCTTAGATTTCCTGTTATCAAATGTGTAAATGTTCCTCTTCACAGAAACATGTACGCCTCTAAACAATGCAAACATCTAAAGTGAAATTCAAATGTTATTCCACTTCAAGGTTTCAGATAAGAACCAAAATCTCAAATTCATGTTTTTTGTGAAATGTCTGTATGTTTTGTGCTAATCGTTTATGTGTTTTCCCATTTAGTCATGATTTATGTGTGTATTTTCTTCGCCTTCTCTTTCTCCTTTGCATTTTCCTTTCTTTTTTGTGTATTTCCAACACTACTCAGTGCTATAGTTTTACCATACAACCAAAGGTGAACAATTTAAATACAATAAGTAGTCTTCCCCCTCCCATCCTGTCTTTTATCCTTGAAAATAATGTGAGAGGTGACTGCAACGAAAACACAAACTGTGTCCAGAAATGTGACCACGGTAACAAAAAGACCGGCTGTTAATGCTCACTGGACTGATGCCGAAGGAGACTTGATCTCAGAGGATCAAGGTGAGCCTAGTGATCTCCATTTTTATTTACATCCCTCCCAGCAGCACCATTTTACATCAGATCCGCACATGAGTGAGGACAGGACTTTTTTTTTTCTTTCCAGAAGGGCCTCATGCACAGTACGCAGACAGCAGTACTCCTGAAGCCAGCGATGGGCAGTGGCCACACCAGGCCTCCTTTCAGCACCGTGGACAGCAACGTTGCAGTACAGGCCGCGCAAACACACCGTGAGGCTTTTTTTCAGTCGACACACAGCTCTGTCTTAGACATGCAGCACACACACGCACACACACACTAAAGCATCACAATGTAAGACACAAACAGGCCAAGCTTCTGTCATATTAGGCCTAATTATGTGTTTTTCTAGTCTTTGCTCGTGCTTTTGATGGGATAAGAGCTCCTCTGCTGCCACTCTGGATGTCTGATGTCTGAACACGTATTCGGGCAGCTTTACAGCGCTAAACCATTATCGATCCGCTCCTCCTGAATTTGTGCCATCACATCAACGCACATACACAGCCGATAACACCCTGAATACACGGATTATTGAATTAAATAGTCCTGGTATATTATCGTGGCGCTGTCAAGCTCTCGTTTTTTTTCTTTTATTTGATTATTTATGGGACCGAATCGGAGACCGCGAGGTTTAGAGATGCTACAGACATCGCCAGCCTTGGGTGTGTCCCGAACTGACACATGGGGGACCGCTTATTATCTTCTTCTTTAAAAAGAAAAAAATAATAGCCATCGAGTGGTGGGGAAATGTTAAACGCTGTCATATAACACAATAAAGGGTCGTTTGTGTCAGAAATAAGCGATGTGTGGGGAAATATAGCGTTATCTGGAAAAGGCTGGGCATATTTGTTGGTCACTGCAGCACATCAAAACACCACAATTCCCAGCGCCTGCTTCCAATGATGGCACTTTGCGGCAAGTAAAAAACAACAACAAAAAAGCACTCTAGGTGATATACAAGAATCTGCGTTTATATCCGAGCCATTTCTCTTTCTTTTTCTTCAAAGGTTAATCAAAATTTCCACAGCTACAAATTATGCCAGGGGCAACATGGGCGTCTAATATAGCAAAGCCACTAGAAACATCTTCTGGATTCACTTTAAACTTCCCAAAATGATCACGGATTGCATACATGGCCCTCGATATATGCGCATGTTTGATAAGGATGACCCAAACCCGCCCGAGCTCTGACTCACCGCTCTGCTCTCCCAAAAACACGAGTTTAAATTTCCTCAGGGGGTTCCCCAGGTCTCCTCCAGCGGACATGGTGGCAGATAAACAGCTCGACTTGGATTATTTTTATATGTTTTTATCGCTCGGTGTCTCGCCCGCTATGCCTGCGCAGGGGGATCCTCCTCTACTCACAGAATGATGGGAATGCAGCTCAGCATCCTCCTGTCAATTTAGGAAGCTTGTGCGCCTGCGCGACCTCACCTATCGCAGTCCCTCACCTTTCTATTGGGCCTGAAGCTGTACTATGTTTTGTTTTTTTGTTTTTTCTTGGACATAAACTAATTAAAAACGCCCATGATTTTTAGTTTAAGGTAAATAAGAGAAACACCTAAGAGACGATTTTAAAAATACATTTATTTAATAAATGTAATTTTTATTTATTCACCAGCCATATAAAACATTTAAATGTAACTTTAAGGTATATTCAGTATCATTTCCTAAAATGGGATGTTAGTATGAATTAAAATGCCCAGCAACACTGCTAATGACTAGTTCTGAGTTCTAAGAAGTTAGTGATCAGTTATCCTGTTTGAAACATCGTAAACAATTTAATAATTTTATTCATTTTTGAAACAAAAACATGAGAAATTCGTTTGCCATGACTTCTCCCATGAGAAGATTATAGTCTGTTGTCATTTATGACGCTAAACTTTACACATTTTGTGCATTTGCTCCATGCTCCTCTATTATAAAAAAAATTAAATGCAATTCATTTACTCACAAGTAAGTATTTATATATCATAGTACAGTTTCTCACTGTTTCCACCCTGAAGGGAGTGCTCCCTTCAGGGGTCGTCAACACGGATCATCCACCACCCATTTAACCCTATCTTTAGCATCCACTTCTGTCTCAACAAAACTCTGTGTGTCCTTCTTTACTACATCCATGGATCTTCTCTGAGGTGTTCCTCTTTTCCTCCTGCCTGGCAGCTCCATATTTAACACCCTTTGTCCAGTATATCCACTGTTCCTCATTCTGCAAATGTCCAAACGACTCAACCTGAGCTGTCCCTCTGATGTACTCATTTCTGATCTTGTCCATCCTGCTCACTTCCAGTGACAATCTCAACATCTTCAGCTCTGCCACCTCCAACTTTGTCTCTTGTCTTTTTGTCGGTGCCGCTGTCAACAAGAAAGAAAACCTTCCCTTTCATACTTGCTGCTATCCAAATCCACAAATCACCCCTGACCCTTGTCTCCACCCACTCTAACCTGCCTGCACTCTCTTCTTCACTGTCTCTTGTGCACTGTCTGTTTCTTTAGACGGCTGACCCCAGGTATTTAATGTCATCTACTTTCACTACCTCTACTCCTTGAATGTTCAGCTTTCCACTCATTCACACACATGTATTCCGTCTTGCTTCTGCTGACTTTCATTCCTCTTCTCTCCAGTGTTTACCTCCAACTCTCCAGATTTTCCTCTTCCTCCTTCTTATGCTCTTTGCAGAGCACATTGTAGCCCATGGAGACTCCTGCCCTAAACAGTATGAGGATACTGTTACTTTAGTATTTGAGGGGTTTTCCATCATTGTACCTTTGATATATTTGACAAATTAATAAAAATCACTTCAGATTAAAAGCCGAATAGCTAATGAAAATGTGTTAGGGGCACTCTGTCTATAGCATCACGTCTGCACATAGAGTCGTGGTAAAAAGAAAGTCCAGCCTCTGTCATTTTTAAGGTTTTACCTATTGTGATATGACTAAAAATTTATCTGGTCATAAAATGAGGTAAATAAAAACTAAGATGAACAACAACACTGGACATATTGCAGGGTGTTATTGTTTATTTAATAAAAAAGTCAAATTGTAGCAGCAAGAAGGTGAAGTGCTTTTTTCTGTATGACATTGTTGTGGGGGGATTTTGGTCCACTCGTCTTGACTACATTACTGCATTTCATTACATTATACAGCTATTCATTTATTCACAGCTCTTTTAAGGTCCCACCACGCAACCTGATTTAGCCATTGCAACATCTTGATTCTTTTCTTTTTCAGCCATTCTGTTGCAGATTTGCTGCTGTGCTTGGGATCATTGTCTGTTACGTGACTCCAGTTTTAGCCAAACTTTAGCTCTCAGAGAAATGGCTGATACAGAGGCATACAGAGGATTCACAGTCAGCTCAATCCCTGCAAGGTGCCCGTGACTTGTGGCCATGAGACAAGTCAGGTCAAGTGTTTTTTTATTTTCATTTCAACCATGTAAAGTGGTACAGCACAGAGTGAAACGAGACAATGTTCCTCCGAGACCATGGTGCTACATATGACATGTAACAGACAATCAACACAGGTCGATGTAAAGTGCAATGTGCAAAAATTGCAAATGAAAAAACAAACAAAAAAACAAGACAAGACACTAGACATAACAGGACGATACAGACACAAGACAGTGCAGTGGAAATGTGCAAAATACTGAGTACTGCGCAAAAGGAACTTGGTGCGTGCTTGCCTTTGTTTGTTTGTGTATGTGTGCGAGTGATTCTGGCAGTCTGGCAGTGAGGGCCCGGATGCTCCGATACCTCTTGCGAGAAGGCAGCACGGTGAAGAGTGTGTGTGAGGGGTCTGTGGGGGTTGGTGTTGAGGGACCAGGAGAGGTTCTCCGCCAGGTGGACACCAAGGAATCTGGTGCTCTTGATGACCTCCACAGAGGATCCATAAATGTTAAGTGGACAGTGATCTCTGTGTGCTTTCCTGAAGTCAACAATCATCTCTTTTGTTTTGTCCACATTCAGAGACAGGTTGTTGACTCTACACTAGTCCGTTAGCTGTTGCAACTCCTCTCTGTATGCTGACTCGTCGTTCAAGCCAGATGTTTGTGCTGCTATGCTGTGTTTGGTTTTTGCCAAACGTGGTGCTGTGCGGTCCTAAGCTTATTGTTAAAGATACAACTCTGCAAACCTAAGCCATGCAGCCATGTTCTTTTTAAGGAGAGGCTTTCTCTTGACAACCCTTTCTGCAATTTGACCTTGGGCTGTATTTTCTCGAACATCCACTCCTGGGAAGATTGGCTGTTTGGAAAAGGCCTTAAACTAACACTTCCCAGATTGATGGGCAACAATAGTCGCTATTCTAAGGTTACTGCTTATTTCTTTCCTCTTTGGCATTGTAATAACAAACACCTCAATGCTCAATGTTCCAAAGCAGCAGACTGCCAAAACCTCTGCTTTTATAGAGGCGCTCACACTGGCTGATTATCAGTTAATTAAGTGTATTTGATTAGTAGCACGTGACTGCTACTTAACCTCTTATTTCCATTGAAGATGGTGACAGTGTACTACATTTCTCCTGCATCTTGGCTTAATGTTTACAGTGTAATGTGTCATGTTTTGTATTTCTCTATTAAGTCCCAATACATAAAATCTTAGAACTGACAGGAGATGCACTTCCGTTCTAACATAACTGCGGTTTGAGAGGCACATGCATCTTTTGCATCTACATATTTTATCAGATCCTCCCTGCCTTTCAAACTCAGCACTTTCTGGTTTCTAACACAGGGTAGCCGACTTTTACACAGTGTGTGTTGTTAATAAGAGATGCTGTCACTTTACACAGCCGAGAACATATTGTTTTCATGTGTTGGGACACATTTAACATGATCATCAAACTCCTTTCGATATGTATTTTTACTGCACTGTCCTTTTAAATAGAGTCCGAACAAATTGCAATGATCTCTCAAATTATGTAAACTGTATGAAATGTTTGCTGTAACTTTGTCAGTGTTACAACATGGGAAATCACATTTTTTTTTACATTATTTTCTAGCTACACAATAACTACATCTATTTATCAGTCACACCTTTTAATACTGCTACAAAATTTATTAGTTCAACAAAACAAACACACCAACATCAATCTGTGCAAAAGCATCACGTTTAACAAGCAGACTTACTGTTCAAAGTCAAACAACTCCGCCTCCTTCTCTTTCCAGAAAGCAAAACTGCGGTCAATATATTTACAAATGTCTTCATTGTGGAAGCAGGAGAAGTCTGTGTCACTGCAGCGCTCATCTGGAGTAGCACTTTGAACTATAACTTTGGGTACTAATTTGGAATCTGGCAGCAATGATGATGATGATGGTGGTGGACAGTGACATGGATTTGAATCACCAAAGAAGTGAAATTTGATGTCCTCGAAGCCGTCGCTCCACTGTCGCTTCCCAGCCTGGATCTCCTGGAGGACAGCCTTATGGAAGTCCCGCACCTTCTCCCAAGGAAAACTGCCAACACGGTCAAAGACCTCAAAGCAAAGGAGGTGCCTCATCTTCCTCTCCTCAGCTGACAAATCCTGCTCTAAGATGTGAAAGTAACCCAGCATAAAGAGATCGAGGGTCAAGCTGTCATGGCTCACTGCAACACCATCCACATCTGGAAGGAATTGTTCTGGGGAGTAGGTTACACAAAGTGGAGGATTTTGTGAAACGCTAAAGGAAGGTAAAGGTTGCACTTCTCTAAGTTCTAGTTTATTTCTCCAGGAGTTCAGCATTTTATCCACAGCACTTCGTTGTTGGCAGAACTGAAACATAGAGGGGATTTTCTGTTGGGGCTGTGCTTCTGTCACTCTTCCTGGCGCTGCAGCCTGTCCCTGCCTCTGCCTTGCTGCTCTCACTGTAATAGCATATGCAGATTTCTTCCAGTGGCTCAGGAATAGCACCACGATTCGCTCTTTTCTTAAGCTGGTCGTTTCCATTACAGGTGCAGCTGTTTTAGGAGTGTCAGGTTGGTCAACCTCACATTTGAAGCTTGTATTGACATTGCTGTTCTTTCTGCTTGAAGCTCCATTTACAGCCTGGTTTGTCAACCCCCCTCCTGCTTTTATAACCCCAGCAAAGGGATAAATGCTACCAATCTGACCCTCAAAGGTTGATCTGAGGTTTCTAACTGAGACTCCAGACTGCTGGATCTCCCTTTCCACCTTTTCCCTTTGTGCTCTTCTGTAGCTGTTGCTCTCCAAACGATGGCTAAAAGCAGATGCCATCCCTATGTGAGGTATCCTACATACACTGGAGGCCTCCACATGGGCTTCCTCTGAGTTTAGACCTGGTTGCACTAATCCCTGTCCCAGTTCAATTCCTGGGTTACCTTTTATCTTCTGTAAACCCTTCATCCCTTCCACCATGCCCTCCACTAACCCCATTTCACCATCTTTTTCTGTGATTTGAGTCA